TCTCTCTCTCTCTCTCTCTCTCTCTCTCTCTCTCTCTCTCTCTCTCTGTCTCTGTCTCTCTCTGTCTCTCTCTCTCTTTGCTTTTTGGTGAGGCAATTGGGATTAAGTGACTTGCCCAGGGCCACAAAGCTAGTAAGTGGATAATTTCTTTATATGCTCAAAATCAAGTTTGTAACCTGTGAAAATTTAAGAGACTCTATTCTCTCTTTTGGGATCCTAGGAACAGAGTCATAATGTAGGGGTAAAAACAAACAAAACCAAAACAAAGCTTAACTGAACATAGGAGAAAGTTGCCCTTGTTTATTTTCACATAATAATGAGATAATATATTTTCTTATGATAATGGGAGATGAAGTTGGACTAGGTGACTAGTCCACTATTTTTCCCCACTTTCAGTGAACAATTTTAATTTGCAGATGGAAGCTCTACCACCCTCGAGTGGAAAGAACAGAGTAAGGGAAATATGCTCACCACAAGGCAGGAGAACTGTGTCCTCACCCTAGTTCTGCCCCCTATCTATATGATCCATGTCAAGTTCTTCAACCTCTGGAGACCTCAGTTTTCTCATCTGTATGAAGATGTGTTTGTAGATTAGAAAGACAACTGCATTTTAAATCAGAGGACCTGGATTCAAATCCCAATTCTGTTCCTTGTGACAATTCACCTCGCCTCTCTGGGCCCTAGGATCTTTATCTGTAAAACAAGAGGGTGGGACTTGAAGGATCTCTGAGGTTCCTTTCTAGTTCTCAATGATATGCCTCTAAGTCTTGCTGCCCAAAGCAGGGTTTATTAGAAAATCTGTAAGGTTCCTGGCAGCTCTAAAATTCTATTACTCTTTTAGTTTAGGTCAAATGCCATTATAGTGAAAACCACTCTCTGTAAAACACAAAGGATTTCTAAACCCTAGCCAAGGGTCAGCATTCCAAATTATATTCCACCCTCCTCAAAACAAATTCTGTTATGACAAATTTGGACAGTTCCTTGTAATTCATTGCAATTAAACCCCTTTATATGATGATAGTGTTCATACCATTTCTTCTTGGAATGCCAAGGAGATGTAAGGCAGGATTATGGAAGCATTTGGTATCCCTATTTGTTGTGCTCAAGGACAAAAGAATAACTTCTTCTCAGAGGGCTCCATGTACCTTATGTGGGAATTATCAAAAGTTCTATGACTCTCTCAGACTCTGAGAGACTGGAAATGGTGTTCATTTGTTTGAGCAATTTCTTCATTTTTGTACATGGATAGGATTTATGGCACCTTCACTCATCAATAAGAATGTCACATATCATAGGCAAGTATAACAGCATATAAATGATTTATTACACATCTGTTAATATCATTCCAACCTAGGACCTTGAAGGCTAGAACTTCCTGATGCAGTAGCTAATGAAAGATTTAAAGAGAAACTTTATTTGGGAAGACAGATTCTTATCTAAGGAGAAAGGAAGAGAAAGATGAGAGACTAACAAGGGGGAGAATCTTGAAGCACACATAGAATTGAAGCAGACCTAAAATGGTTCAATTTGTCTCGTTAATACCAATCCAGTCTGAGAATAGGAAATATGAAGTACCCGGAGTCCAAAGCCAAAGATACCAACTACCTCCTCTCAACTCCTTTCTAAGTCCCTTTGACTATCTTCGGTTGATCTTCTTTTGCGATTGCTTGAGAATGTAAATTAAAACCTAAACAACGAAATATAAAATAACATTTACTGAAAACTACCTTCAAAATGTTTTGCCTACAAAAATCAAGGTCATTATTTTGTAATGTTAGTGCTCTAGCCTCTTCTACCCAGACTGCCAACCTGACTCACACAGATGCCTAGCTCCCTACCTTTATTGCTTAGCTTTAACACAACAAGGTCAACAACAGTAAAGGCTGTGGCGGCTTCCTACGTAGAGAAAGAAGGGCTTAAGGCACAGATGTGAGGCATTTCTGTGACATATCAGAACAGTGAGGATCAAGAACTCTGAAAATACTTCAGGTAAAATTCTTGGGAATTATTTATATAAGGATAAAGTGCTTTCCTTCTCTCCATGAATGATCATTCCATTAATATGATACATTTCACCTAAAAAAAAAAAAAGTACAAAGCACTATCTTGTTTAGAAGTAGAGCTCTATCTCTGCGTATTACAAGAAACAGAAAAGATTCTCTAGGTGGAAAATTTCTGCTGTGACCTCTAAGAGTGTACCTCTTTGGGTCAGACCTGCATATGTTCAGCCTGTTGGGCTACCCACTGCTTGATTTCCTGAGCAACTTTCGAGTTCAGCTCTTGGCCTCTTGGAAAATTGATCCACTGATTAGCATTTTTTTTTTCAGTCAAGCAACATGCCTTTCAATGCCCCCACGCCTTAATCTCTGAGAATCTGGTCCTCAATAAAGACAGAGAACTAACTCCCCCGGCTCAGTTTCTTTCTAAGTCCCTTCGGCTCTCTGGGGCTGATCTTCTCTCGAGATCGTTTGAGAATTTAACCTTAAACCTCCTTAACGGCCTCAAGTGAAGAGAGCCCTCGCGATGCCACGCGGAGCGGCCTACCCGGCCAGCGCCTTTGGCCTGGCTACTGCTGGCTCGGTCTCTTCTGCACGATCGCGGCTGTCCAGCTGCGCCTGCTCTCGCTGCCTGGAGCCGCCTTTGCCTTGGGAGGTCTGGGGGCAGGGAGGCCGGAGCTGCTCCCACCTGGGGACCTGTGCGCGCTCTGGGAGGCGCCTGGCAGCACGGGCATTTTGATGGCCTTTCCCGGGGCTGCGCCGGCGAGGCTTTTGCCTCCGTCGCTGACCACGGGGGCAGCCGGGGAGGTCGGGCTCCCCTGACCGAGCGAACAGCGAGCCGATGGCAAGGCCCCACGGAGCTTCTGGACTTGCAGAAGCTGCTCGCGGGCGTGGCTCAGAGCTTCGGTCAGCTGGAAGCGCTCTTCACACTCTCTCCGCACTGTTTCCTGAAGAAAGGTGTTCTGAAAATAGGAAAGAGAGAGCCCGTCTTGAGCTGTGGAGCACGGAGGGCTGGCTAATGGGCAACACTTCCCTCGGAGCCGGGGCTCTGGCCCTCTCCGCCATCCCGGAGGAGCCAGAGAGGCTCACGGGCCGAAAACCTGGACAGGGCCTCAGAAACCATCGAGGCCAGCTGCCTCCTTTCACTAAGGACAGGCAGGAGGCCCAGCGGGGCGGGTCAAGTCCCCAGGCTTTTAGTGAGCTCCTACTATGTGTCCAACATCGCACTGAGTGCTGGAAGAGGCTTGGCTGGAGTCACCCAACTGCTCTAGGAGGAGACCAGGACTAGAACCCAGATGTGCTCCTATCAGTCCTGTGCTCTTTGAGTTCTCCTGCTGCATGCCTCTGACACCGCCCTCCACTTTGCTCAAGGGAATGTGACCAAGCCATCCACCTTTAGGAAAAGTTATTGTGTCATGGAGTCCAGGGAATTGAATGCAACACAAGAAAAGTATATCTATCCATATAGGTATTACAGATGTGTATATTATGTGTGTACATGTACGTATATGTATACACACATATGCCACACATATATACATATATAAAGTTTTAACTATTCTGAGACAATGCTGTCTGGTGGAGTTAGTTCGAGGCCAATGATAAGAAATGGTCATGATTAAAAATAATATTTCACAATTTACAAAATGCTTTTCCATAGATGACCTTTCACTGAATCCTCCCAACTACAGATATAAGGCATTTCCATCCCCATTTTACTAACGAAGGAGGTAATCCACAGTGAGCGTAAGCTCAGTGACTTGTCCACTTGTTATATGACTTGCAGATGACAAATCTGGGTCTTGAGCCCAGGTCATACCAATCTTTTCACCTCCCTAGGTCTCAGTTTCCTCATCCATAAAATGACAGGGTTGGACTACATGACCTCTGAGATTGCTTCTAGCCCTACATTTATCCATGAAGGCAAAGTTCAATGGCCATTTTACATCATCCAGCTAGGTTTTTTTAAAAATTGAATTCTATTCAACTAACTTATGTTTGTGAATACAGCCAAGGCATTATAAAACTTTAGATCACAAACAGAAAAAAAATTCCTCCCTTCAATTTTTAACTGCCTAAATCTAAGGGTAATTAGCTGCTGTCAGCTGACTGAACATGCAGGAAAACGTCCTGGAAAGCTGATCCTCCACGTGTTTTGGGTCATTGCAATTGTGGTTTCAAGAGTAAATTCACGGGCTAGGCACATGTTGGATAAGATGTTCCATCTCCCGTGGTTAGGAATTGTTAGCAGCTTGTGCTCCATACCTACAATGCTCTCCATTCTCATCTCTACCTCCAAGCTTCCCTGACTTCAAGTCCAAGCTAAAATCAAAGCCTTTCCTAATCCTTCTCAATTCTCATGTCTCCCCCTGTGATTATCTCTAATTTGTTCCTGATAAAGTTGGTTTATACCCAGTTTGCGGGTTTTCTGCTTCATTAGACTGGGAGGTCCTTGAAGGCAGGAAGTGTTCTTTTTCTTTATTTGCACCCCAACACTTAGCACAGTGCCTGACACATAGTAGATAATAAATGTTTATTGACTGACTTCAATTTGAAAAAACCAGAACTGAGCAAAAATCTTGAATGGAAACACAAGAGCCAAGAGACACAGAGAAAAACAAATGCAAATGAGTAACTAGAAGGAGCTAAATAATGATGAAATGCTTACAATCTAATGGAAGAAAAGAGCTACATCCCTTTATAATCCAACTGACTCCCAAGAGAGGGAATTAAGTAGCATAGAAACACAGAGACCAGGAGTGGTGTTTCTTTTCATTTTTCTCCTTTTTTTTCTTTTTCGGTTTTAAGAGAGAAAGAGACTAGGTACATACGACCCAGAAGAAACTGAACATAATAGTATAATTCTCCAACCACTTGGGTAAGGACTTAACTATTTGACAAAAACTGATGAGAAAATTGGAAAGCAGTCTAAAAAAAATAGATTTAGATCAACATATATCAACATATCTCATATATAAAACGGGAGAGAGAGAGAAGCAAGGAAGGAAATACTCATCACGGCTATGGATAAAGGAAGAGTTTTTGACCAAACAGAGAATAGAGACTATCACAGAAGATGAAATGGACAATTTTGATTATATAAAATTGAAAAGTTTTTGTAAAAAATAAATCAATACAGTTAATGTTAGAAAGGAATCAGTCAACTGGTAAAAAAAAAAATTGCATTAAATTTCCCGAATAAAGGTCTGCTCTCTCAGATATATAGGGAATTGATTCAAATATATAAGATGAGCCATTTCCCAATGGTAAAAGGATACGAACAGGCATTTCTCAAAAGAAGAAAATTAAGCTATGAAACACCATATGAAAAAAATGCTCCAAAACATTAATAACAAGAGAAATGTAACTTAAAATAACTCTGAGGTTCCATCTTACACCCATCAGATCAGCAAAGACGACCCCAAAAATGCTGACAATTTTAGAGGGGCTATGGGAAACAGGCATACCAGGGAAGCTAGGTGGTATAGACAGAGTGCTAGAGTCAGGAAGACCTAAGTTCAAATCCTACCTCAGACATCTGTGTGAGCCTGGGTGTCTCTTAACCTCTTTGTACCTTGGTTTCTTCATCTGTAAAATGAGGGCATCTATGGTTCCTTCCAGCTTTCAATCCATGATTGCATGACCCTACCTTGCCTTGCTATTGCACTGTAAATTGTTCCAACCATTCTTGAAAATAATTTGAAATTATACCACCCAACCCTGATGAGTTAACTATGCAGACTGTATACCCCAAAGAGATCAAAGAAAGAGGGAAAGCACTCATATGTACAAAAATATTTATAACAGTAGTTTTAAACAAAACAAAAAAAACTGGAAAAATGGGTAAACAAATGACAGCATATAAAAAATAATGAACTATTTTTTTTCATAAGAAATTACAAAAGGAGTAGATTCAGAGAAATCTGGGAAAACTTTTATGAAATGATTCATAGCAGAAATGATTCAGGTGAGCAGAACTGGAAGAACAATTTATACAATGCCAATTCAAAACAACTGTGAAAGATTTGTGAACTATGATCAACGCAGTAACTAAACATGACTCTAGAGGACTGATAATGCCCAGCTCTGGGCAGAGAGGTGATAGACTAGAGGAGCAGAAAGAGGTGGCCAATGTGGCAATCTGCTTTGCTTGGCTACACTCATTTGCTACAAGAGAGGACTTTTATACACTAAGGGTAGTAATTTATATACTAAGGATGAGTAAAAGAGTAATGAAGGACTTTGAGGGGAACGCAGTGATAGCAAAACAAAAAAATACAAGAGAGTGGAAGAAAATTCAGCAGGGGACACAGACAACAAGCAGGACAGTTCTGGAACTACTAGGAAAATTTTATATATTCTTTAAAAATAAGTTGTCCATAATAGAGACCCATGACATCATATGCAATCTTTTTTTTTCTTTTTAGGCAATTAGGGTTAAGTGGCTTGCCCAGGGTCACACAATTAGTGTCAAGTGTTTGGTCTGAGGCCAGATTTGAACTCAAGGCCTCCTGACTTCAGGGCTGGTGCTCTATCCACTGCACCACCTAGCCGCCCCACATGCAATCTTTCTGTTCTAGTCCTTATAAAAGGAACTGTTCATATGTGTTGATATTTGTCAAGTTTACATGAGAACAGTAATGAATTTTAAAAAAAAGACTTAGGGAAATGTTTTTGCATAGTGAGTGGATCTGCTGTGGTAAACTTATGAGAGCTCCTGGCTAAGAGTGTCACAGGATGGGCAGGCATGAAGGGGTTGAAAACTCTATCATTCAAGGACTTAACCATATCCACATGACCTCAAATCCATTGGACTGTTGTAGTGACTGTGGAACTTTATGCTATAATTTTCTCCCTCTTTGGTCCCTCCCCCTCACTGGGGATCATTCACATTTGGGTGGCAATTGGAAGAGACAGAGAAGGAACCAATGAGACTTGACAGTCAAATTGGGAGGGGGCTGCCATAGAGGTTTCAAGCTCAGGGATGAGCCTCTAATTTCTGGGAACTGTTTTTGAATCCACTTCCTCTGTGCCATAAGAAATATCTAGTACCACTGAGCAGCTGGAAATACCTACCAGCAACAGGGGAGAGGCAATATTGTTGTCAGTAACTGGTAAGACATAAGATAGTGCCCAGATTGTTCAGACTAGAGCAAGAAAGGAAATCAATGGCTGAGTCCACATTGGTATTGGCAGCATTGGAGAAGTTTGCTAATTACTATATTGGGGAGGTCGACTCTCAAGTTGGACATGAATGGCTGCTAGAACCTTGAATTGTATTGAAAAATTCCTGAGTTTGGGCCATAGCTACAATTGTTTAAAGTCTGCTTAACTGCAGAAGCTATAGGGATATGGTGGACATTCCATTATTTATTGTATGATCCCTTTTCACTGTAGCTCAAAAGTAAAAATACTGGAAAGAGTATCCAAGCATAACTATTTGTTTGCATGGATGGCTAAGTCCATTATGCTGAGGTCACATGACTAAGGCTCTGAGAAACACAGAAGATTCAAAAAAGAGGTAGGGCTGCTGGTAGGTGGGGCTAAAGAGCAATTTTCTAATTGAGTGAATTCATACTAACCAAACAAGATGAATGTAGGCACCCAGGGAAATTCGGAGTTGGAAGATAGGAGGTACTCAGTCTCTACGAACCAAACAGATCTTGGTATTTACCCAGAAAATCCCCTCAATGAGTAGAAACACATAATCAGTAGGGTGGAGGCTTCCTATATACTCGGCTTTTTGGGAAACAGGATCAGGTTAGTGGCTAATAATGCCTCCTGGTGGCTAAATTTACAAGAGACAGTGAGAATTTGATACAATACAGAGTTGGTCATCAAAATAATGAGATGAGAACTATGGCATTTTAGGTCAGACAGTTGTAGTTATTTGTGTACAAAATAAACTGGATGTTGGAGATAAAGTAAGGAGCTATAGTTCATATACACTATTAAAGCTTAA